GATGGTTTGATCGTGGCACTTGAAAATCGAACAGATGCAGACATCACAGTGGACTTTGTGAAAGGTAAACTGTTGGACGAAGGTCGACGTCGTGCTGAAAGTGAGAGTGATAGTACTTGTGAAAAGGCACTGGTCATGAACACAGCTAAACTGAAGTTTGCAAGTAAGCACTACGTGAAGAAAGAAGTGTTGTGTCATTACTGCAAAAAGGAAGGACATTTTCGACGGGATTGCCGGAAATTAGCGCAGGACAAGCGGGAAAAAGAGAAGACGGATGGTCAGAAGGTGAGTATGGCCATCAAATCCGGTTCTTTTTTTGAAACGTGCTTGGCAGCAGGCGAAGCCGATAGAACTGATTTCCGGTACCTGGATTCAGGTGCCACAGCACATATGACGAGTAACGCGTCGTTGCTGGATGGTGTGGATAAATCTAAGGCAACGGCGGTCTGCCTGGCGGATGGAAAATCCATCAAGTCAGCTGGAAGTGGTATCGGTAAGCTAGTCTCCTTCAACGGAGATGGCATCAGGATAAACGTTCGGCTCGAAAACGTCCTGCATGTTCCATCGCTCGCTGGTAACCTGCTGTCGGTGAGTAAAATCACAGATTTGGGTTTTCGGGTGCTGTTTGGGAAAACGGAGTGCCATATCCTGAAAGGAGAAGAAATAGTGCTAGTTGGGCAGCGTAAAGGAGGGCTGTACCACTTGAAGCAAGCTCCGGAGAAGGCATTTCTGGTTGATCCAAAACATGCAGACCTGTGTCGTCATTTGTGGCATCGTCGTTTCGGACATCGCGATGTGAAAGCTGTAGACAAAATAATACGTGATAACCTGGGGTACGGGTTAAAAGTGGATCCTTGTGAAGTTCAGTCGGCGTGTGGTCCGTGTTGTGAGGGGAAGATGGTTAGAGAGTCGTTCCCAAAAGTGTCGGACAGCAAATCTAGCGCGGTAGGAGATCTAGTGTCAGTGTGCACTGTGGACGGTCCAATGGAAGAAGAAACGCCAAGTGGTAATCGATTCTACATCGTTTTGGTAGACGATTACAGTCGTCACACGGTAGTGCATCTGTTGCGTCGGAAGTCGGACGCAGAAGAGAAAATTCGGGATTTCTGCAGTCTGGTGAAAAATCAGTTCGGGCATTATCCCAAGAAGATTCGTTCTGACGGCGGTGGCGAGTACACGGGTGGTTCGTTGCGAAAGTTTTTCACGGAGCGTGGAATAGTTCATGAGCAGACGGCACCGAGTTCACCACAGCAAAATGGTGTCGCCGAGCGGAAGAACCGCTATCTCGTTGAGATGCTGCGGCGAGGGGGGCGACACATCTAAATCTACATCATAGATGCTCGAAAAATCTCACGCCAGCGAATAAATCTACGAAAAATCTTCTTGCCATTTTAAGCATCTAAATCCATCTACTCGCATCGACTTCCATCTTTTTGCAGGAAATCTTCAAAATCTTCATCAATCTTCCTAAAATCTACTCATCGTACGTGCAGCTAAGCACAGCAAAACAAAATCGTTTCTGCATCGAAGATAGAGTCGCCCCCCTCGTGCTGCGGTGTATGCTTTCCGAGTCACGGTTGAACAAGAGGTTTTGCAGAATCGTTTGCCGTCATCTACAGTCTGTAAGACACCGTTTGAGCTCTGGAACAAGAATAAACCTTCCTACGGTCATCTAAGGATCTTCGGATCGAAAGCGTACGTGCATGTCCCCAAGGAAAAGCGGCGCAAGCTGGATCTCACTGCTGAGAAGCTAGTGTTCGTAGGGTATGCTGACGGTCGTAAGGCGTATCGTTTCTTGAACCCTGAAACGGATATGATTATGATTAGTGCAAAGTTCTTGGAGCTATGCAATACGAAAGAGGCTGTTCGGATCCAGGGTCTAGAAGCAGGAGGAGTACTGGAAGTACCGCTAGTGTTGCCATCAGGAGATGAGTCTCGGGATGAGACGGATGGGAATGGGTCATCGGAAGAAAATTCGGAGTCGGTAGAAGAATTCATGGAATCGGTAAAAGACGGCCAGGATCTGAATGGATCGTTCTACGATAATGCTTCGGAAGGAAACCAATCGTTTCATGGCTTTCCTTTAGACGAAATAGCACGGCGTTCGAGAAGGTCAACGAAGGGTATCGCGCCTCAGAGACTGATTGAAGAGATTTTTGCTGCGGAGTCTGTGGATACGGAGGTGGTCGAACCAAGATTCTTGAAGGAAGCGGTGACCTGTGAACAGAAAGAAAGTTGGAAAGCGGCAATGGTTGACGAGCTGAAATCTCACGCACAGAATGGGACGTGGGAGCTTGTTAACTTACCTGCTGGGCGAAAGGCTGTTGGCTGTCGCTGGGTGTACAAGCTGAAGAGGAACGCAGCTGGTGACATCATCAAACACAAGGCTCGTCTGGTAGCTCAGGGATATTCCCAAAAGTACGGAGTTCATTACGACGAGATTTTCGCACCGGTATCCAGCCACACCACACTGCGGGTGCTGTTAGCCGTTGCTAGCAAGAAGAGAATGACGTTGAAGCATTTGGATGTGAAAACGGCCTACTTGTACGGCGATTTGAACGAGGAGATTTTCACGGTGTCCTTGTGGAAATGGGGTTCCAGCAAAGTGTTGCTGATCCGTGCCTGAACACAATGCTGATTCATGGAAAACGTGTATACCTCATTGTGTATGTGGACGATATTTTGGGTTGGTTGCGAAGATGAAGCGAAGATCGAAGCGGTGTATGAAACGCTGAAGCAGTATTTCGAAATCACCAATCTTGGAGAGCTCAAATACTTCTTGGGACTAGAGATTCGGAAGGAACATGGAAAGTACAGTGTTTCAGTGGAAGGGTACATCGATCGTGTTGCGGAGAAGTTTGGGCTCCGTGATACAAAGCGGGCGAAGACGCCAATGGAAGACGGTTTCCAGAGCACGGAAGATAAGAGTCCGCAACTGTCGGACGGGATGGACTATCGGAGTATTGTTGGAGCGCTTCTCTACATTTCCGTATGTGCTAGGCCGGATGTAGCAGCTAGCGTAGCGATATTGGGTCGTAAAGTGAGTGCACCTACGGAGGCGGATTGGATAGCGGCAAAACGTGTTGTCCGCTATTTGAAGGCAACGAAAGAGTGGAGATTGAAGTACAGCGACGCGGCTGGAAAGCTAATCGGATATTCGGATGCCGATTGGGCTGGTGACCTTGGTACAAGAAGATCAACAACAGGATTCGTCTTCCACTATGCCGGTGGAGCAGTATCGTGGGCTAGTCGAAGGCAAAGTTGCGTCACATTGTCTTCGATGGAATCCGAATATGTGGCGCTGAGTGATGCTAGTCATGAACTGATCTGGCTTCGGAGCTTGCTGAAGGACATGGGTGAACAGCTGAGCGATTCTGTCAAAGTGATGGAGGATAACCAAAGCTGTATCCAGTTCGTAACGTCAGAACGTAAGAGTCGTCGGTCCAAGCACATTGAGGTGCGGGACATTTCGTGAAGCAACTGTGTGATGACGGATGCATCGAGTTGCAGTATTGTCCAACTGAAGACATGGTGGCTGATGTACTCACTAAACCGGTGGGTTCAGTCAAACAGATGAAGTTTGCACGGATGCTGGGATTGTCGTCATAGGATGGCAGTGTTCGTTGAGGAGGAGTGTTGGTGTAACAACGGTCATGCCACCTTTCACTACACACCTTGATGCAAAGAGCTATCCTGTAGTGACAGTGATAGCGAAAGAGACGGTAGCAGAGCGAGAGTGCAGCATCAGCCTTCTGCTGTGTGCGCCATTTTGTATTATTCGCAAAAATAAACTTCATGTGTGTACATCTCGTGTTAATAAAGTTTATATTTATTTTCTTCACAATTAAAAACTCGGGCTTTCATTCCGCTGGAACTTCAGTCCAAGAGTAATCACGCTTACCACTACACCATCAGCGCGGCTTGTTGATAAACATTGAAACACTTATGAAACGAACAGAAATTTCCTTGATTTCCTTTGTTAATGAATTATCTCACATTGCGTAAATTCAGAAAAAATATTAGCAAGCTTAGATTTTTACGTACCATCACGCATGTTAAGAACTCAAAATGTATTTCAAATGCCACCTCACAGAAGGAATTATGGTAAAAATTGACCAATCCATAGAATGATGAGAGTGTATAATGATTATTGTGAGCGCATAGATCTAACTATGTCTCAAGATACACAAGGAGAACACTAACTGCTAGGCTTTCATCTCGTTAAGTTTAAAACAATTTTTATTTCCTAGATATTTGTATATGTAGTCTACATTGATTGACAATTTCAAATAAAACGTATGTTTTAAAATAGCATGTAAGGTAACAGCACTATTGTAAAACGGTCTACACTGATCGAAGACAAATAAACAAATAGAACCTCCTTCCGAAGGAAGGCCTTGTTGTCTTATCAAGCAGCACTTCTAGCATAACATCTGAACTCGAAATGCTGCATGATATTATTGGATTAAAAATTCCAAGAAAAACTATATGCGTTGTGTACCGTTCTCCCCTACTACCATAACTCTAAATCCTTTTCTAACTCCTTGTTCACTTGAATATCTATTTAGAGATAGTTTACCTTTTCCCCTCGTTTTTCTTATTTTCTATCTCTGTTTCTCTTCTATTATCTTCCATTTTCACGCTGCAAGGATGCTGATTGCGATATATCAATATGTAAGCGTAAGTCCATAGGCCAACATCGCAATGCCATATATCTAGAGAACGAGAGAAGATATCACTAAATGGACAACATTTTCGGCCTTCTGAATCACAAAATCACGTGTTTACTTATAGAAGCATATGTTTTATTTAAAAAAGTTCATCGTTCGACATTTTGGACTCCGCCTCTATTTATTTCCTTGATTTGTTTTCCGTCGATCTTGTTTTCCGTGCTGAGCACCAATGCTACCGACGCCAGGGAGGCAGCTCCCACATCTGGACCCTACCTATCGACTCATCAACTTATGAACCGGGGACCAACGGCTTTACTTCCCTTCCGAACATCTATATGTCAACGAAAAAAGCTAATTTTTTGGTTTATTACATGATTAGTCCGAATAATCATTTTCCACATGGGAAAACATGTCCCCGAGCGATTTAAAAAAAAATAAGCCCACCCCACCTAAACGTGGGCTCGCGGTTATGCTCGCTATGGTTACTTGTTATTGGTAGCGATAGGGGTGCCACTTACCTGTATTTAATAAATTTACACATATGAAGTTTGTTACCGCACGCTGAGTGTACTTGAAACACAAATTAAAACAAACCCAACGAACGCATATTTTTGTTTATTGGTCATATTTTACTTATACAGAGAAACTAATATGACATATGCTATAACAATCTGTAACCCGCAAATCATGCTATGTTTAGAATAACGTATCGTATATCACCAAGTACTATTACTAAATACAAGTCGAGCTACATAATAATGGTACTCGGGGTATGCACAAAGATCCGTGTAAGCATTTACACTCTCGTAACAATACCATGATCCATTAGAGTGTAATGAAATTTATGAATTTACGAGGATTTTCATATTGATATGCTTTGCGAAAACACCTAATATTTATTAACACTTAACACTTATTTATATTCCATTGGATACTGTCGTACTGCGTCTACTCTGAGCGTTCATCTGCTTGGAGCTCATATCCGAGTTCTAGAATAGTCATAAAAATAAAGATTGAGGCTCATGTGCTAGTGATATGAATTTGAACTGAAAAGTTTAAATAAAACATAAAAAAATTGCCGGAGGAGTTTGAAATAAAAACTGTTTATGTTTTAAAAATGTATCCGAGTAAAGTCCCACCATACTAATCATATTTAGGATTAAAAGTTGGCTCTCGTGCCGAACACAAAAACTTTCGATATGATGATGATGGTTTCAAAATTCATTCACGGTGAAGTATGACAGAGAGTTTTTAAAATGCATTGTATTGAATTTGGTTTTCGCTGCGAGTGAAAAAAATTAAAGGGTTGTGTCCTAGACACGACCGTAGTATGACGTAGAACCACACAAAATTGATGTTTTTCATGCATTTTTGACTATTATACTGTTTAGAGAACAGCCCAGCAACAGTGACTGCAACCCTATAGCCAACACCCAGATTGAATAGTAGGCTTCATTGTTTCGACGTTCGTGTATGGTAATGAGAATATCGCGTTGGGAGCACGAGATATATTCTCTTCGAAGATCCGCTGCCGGCTTTAAGCCGCAGTGGTGAATATTTAGGTAGGAGCACTGAACGATAAGAGAGGATCTCTCTGTCGATAACAGCCGATGGAAAACATCGCCTGCTATCGACCGGGATCATACAATTACCAGTAGCTTAGGATATTCAGTGTTAGTTCGATAACCAATCGAGATAGAAGGACGGGATGATCCTTAGTGTAATTTGTGTAATGATTGTATAGATGTTAGTTTGTTCTGTAATAAAATATACTTTGTGAGTCCGTTGTTTTGAACCTACGTCGCGTGTGTGATTTTGTGAAGAAGAAAGAAGTTTTGTGTGTCTGGTTGCTATATTCTTCCCAACCTGCTTCAAATCCCTAAAACCAAGGACCACGGGATAGCAATTACACCGCCAAATCCACCATCCATGATTCTGCGAGTGTCGGGAATAAAGAACCGTACAGCCTACATCCATCGAAGGTAATCAGCTCAGCGTTCCTGACAATACTTTATCTTAAAATTTTCAAGTATTTCAATGTTTCGGTTATGGTTCACTCAAAACAATTTAAACATTTTTCTTGACAAATATTTTAATGTGAAATTCCTCATGATTTTCATTTGACCACACATAAACAGAATCCACTTAGAAGTACACATGAAATTTTTACGCAAATGAATAGTATGTGTGGTCACGCGTGTGGAACACATAAAAACTCCAGAACAAGATCCTTAGGATGATTCTAAACAGTCCATGACCCGGAATTCTGAGTTTCACCGCCTGGCTGGCCTTCAGCCTCTCGAAGAGCGACGAACGGAGACACCTGTCTGAGATCAGATCTTCAGATCATACGTGATATAGCACGTTAATTAAGTTAGACTCGTAGTTAGGTAGGTTATCAAATTTTTCAATTAAAACAAAACACACCCCCCAAGGGGTATTCTGTCAACTAGATGAAATACGCAAATACTAAATTAGAATATCCAATGAACAAAGATGAAGAGCCAGATAGGCTAATCAATTGAAATGTAAAATCAATGTGTACACCATAATCAACAGAAATAAACGAAATTTTACTACTACTACTTTTAGAGTCAGTTGTGTGTAATTCATCAACATAATATCATCGAATATGTCTTTCAAGCAATTTTTTTTTTCTCAAATTTGAAAGTTTTGGTTCGGGAAGAAATTTAGGGAAAAACTTCTGTTTTTACTAATAATTGTAGTTTGTTTAAAATTTATTTCCCGGAAAAAAGTGATCGTCAAAGTCCATGTCTTTTTCAGATTATTGTTGAGGGGGGGGAGAGGTTGTTGTGAAGGGGGAGGAGGGGGTTTACAAATATTGCATTTTCTCATTCCTCATTGTGTCGCATTTCTCATTGTGGTCACGCCGTGATCCACCTTTAGCCACTGACTTGGTCCTGCTTGCTTGTGGTTTGTTAAAGATGTATTTCCCGGAAAAAAGTGATCGTCAAAGTCCATGTCTTATTCGGGTTATTGTTGAGGGGGGGGGGGGAGAGGTTGTTGAAGGGGGAGGGGCAGGTTGTTGAGGGAGAGGGAGAATTTGTTGTGAAGGGGGGGCAGGTTTACAAACATTACTTTTCCTCATTGTGCCGCATTCCTCATTTCACGCCGTGATCCACCTTTAGCCGCTGACTTAGTCCGAAGCGGGAATGAGCAGAGGCAGGAGAGCAGCGCTGATTTATATCTTTTCATGTTCAAGCAGAATGATGTGCAATCAAGTGGTATTCGTTTATGATGACTGGGTTTGGGAAAAAGGCTTATTTCATGAAAACAGTGATAAAATTATCATTTGTACATTTTCAATAGTTTAATTACAGAGAAAGTGGGAAAATATTTATTTCAGCAGGTTCGTAATGTAATATCCTTTCGATTGGCGTATTTGGATTTTAATTTCATCTATAAATGACAAAGTTACAAGCGTACAAAACCTAACACTCCTTCACCACACATATTTTTTGATTTGCACCCCAGTATAGTCGACAAAGACGTAGTTCTACGTCAAAAAAAAAGTTGAAATCATTCTATCGCATAGAAATTGAAAAAAAAACAATAACTTAAATTGAATTGATTTGTGCAGTTCTGTTGATTATACATTTTTTTTATGGTTGTTATAGTGTAGCGATATCACAAATATTTGAAAAAAATCGTAATGTTTAATGTTACTGTTTTGCTCAAATATAGCAAAAAATAATGTGTTTATCAACTTGATTGCTTCAGAAGAAAAGTTCCTTGGCTTATTTCACGTCAAATAGATGGTAAAAAGAGTGTCTGCACTGTTCTGACAGTCACTGACAGTTTCTAATAAAATTCACATGTAGACTAAACAAAACATATGACGGACACATCCGCCCACTATCTTTCAGTAACCAAAAGATAGCTAGAAAAGTTAGCTTTCAGATAGGCTTTAATGTGTTTTGCGATTTTTTGTGAAAGATGATGATTTTTTGTGAATAACAAGTAAAGTGTTCGTTGGAAAATATCCGTTTCTAAGTTAAATAATTTGCGGTGTATACTGTAGCAAGCTTCACAATGCCTTTTCAAAGCACACCAACACGCACACACATACACACACGCACCATATATCTATCTCTTATGGTTAATGAGTTATGATTTTTTTTAAACAAGCAGGTTAGGGTGGCTCCTAGACAATCGGCATTCTTTAAATATATTTTTATACGTTCATTCCTCGTGAAATTTTCATACTTCAAGAACTTTTTATGACGCATATTTTTGCTAAGTTGTTATCTCTTTTATTTGAAAAGTTATGGCTTGTTTTTGCTGAAAAATATTACTTATTTTAAATTAAATTAAATGCTTTAAACGGAAAAAAGCTCTTGCAGTTTTTTACCATCTCCATTTTGAGATATTGACAATTGAAAAGAGCATTTTTTCGAAAAAAAATAGCCTTTTAACTTTCCAATCAAAAAAGATAGTAACCTAGTTGCTTGAGCAAAAATATGCGTCATCAAAAGTTCTGCATGTAATCAGAACAATGTTTTACGAGAAATTAACGCATGAAAATATATTCAAAGAAAACCGTTTTTAGTGGCCACCCCAACCTTTTTGTTTAAAAAAATCATAACTTATGAACCATAACAGATAAAAACGTTGTTTTTTGAACAAAGTTGCTTTGAATTGTATGTGTTACAACTGTTTAGAACACTGCTTTGGTGTTTTCTCAAATAATAAAAAAAAAGTTTGTTAATTCACCAATTTTATGGACCACCCTAATTTAACGAACATAAAAAAAATGAACAAAAACTATGAAGCAACTTTCCCTAAGAAACCAGAAACCTAAAACTGACGGTTTGGGCACAAACATTTTTGTCTTCCTAAATATGGCTTTGGGACCATATTGCATCGGTTTTGGTTCTACTATACTCCTTTTTGTGACGTCTTGATTGTCAAGTTTTCTTCGTACAGCAGGGCTGGTAGTGCTGATGCAATATAATAGTAGTGACTTTAGTGACTAAAATTACGGAAATAGTGACCAAATAGTGACTTGTAAATACTTAATAAGTAACTATTTATATGGTAACTTAGAAATTCAAACACGGTTTGATATTGAAATAAACTTGTTATGTCTTGGAACTTAAAATAAAATTTCATAAATTCCTCTAATTTATTCGAATCTCCTATGAAGTGCTTTTGAAGTGATTTGAATAATTTACTTTTGCTTACGTTATACATGATTGCCTAGCAAATAGTAATTCCCATTTTTTTATGAGCTTGAATTTCATTTTGCGTTCGAAATGTTTAAAATTTTGATATATCTAGGTAGATAACTTTGAATTCAGAATTTCTTCAGAATGATCTCAAGAACTTTTTTAGAATAATTTCCCTTCTCTTAAACTTAAAGGCAAATAAGCTTTTACAATAATAATATTGCAAATTCATTGCAGAACAATTAAAAAAATTCTTGGCCATAGATTATTTTCGTAGTTGGAAATGCTTAACATCAAATATCAGAATTATAGTGGACATTTTATACGGCAGATGAGGAGATGAAAGTAAAGAGTTGATAGTTCCGTCACAGACAAACAGACGTAACTCTTTGGAAACGTTTTTCTTGAAAACATAGTATCTCAAAACATAGGACCTCAGTAACGACATCTCTCTGGCTTATCGCGGAAAACAAGGTTGCTCGCTAACTCGTAAACAATATTGCATAAAAGTTCTATAGAATGTATAGAAACGTTAAAGTGATCCGCAGCCAGCGCTGCGGCGAGTAGTTCGCGGAACTGATAATATTTAAATCAACCGTTAAATGCGTGAACGAAGATACACAATCAAAAGTTACGTCTGTTTGTCTGTGGTTCCGTTATAGTAAAGCAGTGTGAAATTTGTATATTGCAAGTAGAAAGCGATAAAGGACAATTTTGAGGAAGGTAAGAATCGAGTAGAGCATCTCCTTTACCAAGCTCATCCGATAATGAGGTGGTGAGGGGTGTTTCCCTCTGCCACCACTGACAAAAGGGATGATCGCTGATTTGCTCATGTACCTCCGATGTGCGGAAACAGTTCTATCGATTGTTTCACACTCAAGTCGCCATCTGAAGTAAACAACTACCCGTTTCGCACCTTTCTCAAAATTGTCCTTGCTCGCTTTCTACTTTGTATATACAATATTTACACTGCCGTACTATAACGGAGCTATAAACTCTATAATTTAATGTCCTCATCTATCGTATAAAATCTGCACTTCAAGTCTGATATTTGACGTTAAGCATCTCCGACTATGTAAATCGTTAAATTCACACATGAAGTAGATTATTTTCGATTTTTATTGATTCTTCTAGGAACTCACTGAAGGGCTCCTTCCATAAATCTATTTTAAATTTATTTGAATGCTCCTTAGAATGTCCATGCAATTAACCTCAGAAATTTAATAAATTTCTGCTTATAATAACCTTGGACTTCTCCCCGGCATTCATTCTCCTTATAATTCCCATAGTATTTCCTCAGAATTCTCAAAACAAAAATCCATCACCGAATAACTTTGAAACTCCTCTCAGAATTCCTTTAAGATTGAACCCTCAAAATTCGATTCCATTGGAAATTATCGGAATTTATTTCGAACTCTTTAGATCTTTAGATCACTCCAAAATTCTTTTAGAACTATCTGCATGGAGTTCACGGGATTTTCATGGAATTTTCATCAAAGCTCCCTTAAACAAAATTTCGAAAATAATTTTGGATTATTATTTAAATTCTCATTAGAATCCTCATCCAATCATCATAGAATTCTTCCCAGAACGCTCGTTAAAATGCACTCTCAATTATATTGGAATTATTTCCAAAATTGTTTCGGAGCTGAATTTTGCGTCTCTAATAATTTAAACAATAATCAAAAGCGACGCTCGTATGTGTTAAGCCAAGTTTAACTATATAGGTAAACCTGCCTTAAGGTTTAAGCGGAGATGAAGAAATCGGTTCTCAGAGCACTTAATTTTACATTAGGCATTCGTAGTCTGTACTTTGGTATTCTTCTCTGATATATCTTGGTGTCATCCCTTTAAATTTCTCCTTTAAATTTCTCTTAAATTCTTTAAATTTATCTTAAAATTTACTTTGGATTTTTTAAATGCTTAATCATCCTTGAATGACTGTTCAAAATCTTTCACAGATAAAGGGTGTTATTAAACTTCATTTTAGCATTTTACTCGTATTTTATTTACAGTCCATACGCAAATGCCCGCACCTTGGCCTTAACCCCGGCCATAAGATTCTGCACAACCTGTGAATCAACCGTTTTTTGCATGTAAACCCATACTTTCTTCAGTTCCTCGACTGTCTTCACTACCTTAGGTCGTTTAAGAAGGTGCTGCTTCATAATCGCCCAGTACTTCTCGATGGGGCGGAGCTCCGGAGTGTTGGGAGGGTTGAACATTTTCGGCACGAAATTGACCTTATTGTCCGCATACCACTTCAGCACGTCCTTGGAGTAGTGGCATGAGGCCAAATCCGGCCAGAAGATTGTTGGGACGTTGTGGGCCTTCAGGAGAGGAAGCAGCCGCTTCTGGAGGCACTCTTTTATGTACACCTGTCCGTTCATCGTGTCCTGGGTCACGAAAGGTGCACTCCGCTTCCCGCACGTACAGATGGCTTGCCAAACCAGGAATTTCTTCGCAAATTTGGACATCTTCTGAGTGCGGACATGCTCCGGAACGCTGAACTTATCCTTGGCCGTGAAAAACAGGTTGCCGGGGATCTGTTTGAAGTCGGCCTTCACATATGTTTCGTCGTCCATGATGCAGCATTCAACTTTCGTCAGCATGTTGAGGTACAACTTCCTGGCACGGGTTTTGGCGGACTTGTTCTGCTTCTCGTCGCGATTAGGGGCCTTTTGTACCTTGAACGTTCGAAGCCCAGCCTTAGTTTTGGCCTTCTGGACAAAACTTCAGCTTAGGTGCAGCTTCTTAGCCACATCCCTAACGGAGGCGTTCGGATTTCGGTTGAAGGCCCCAACTACGCGGTTGTGATTTTTGGTATTGTACGGAATACTTTTTCCTTCACTTCTGGGCTTCCGATCGGTGGTCAACCGTTCCTCGAACCGCTTAATCACTCGCGACACCGTGGAATTCGCGATTCCCAACGTTTTAGCGATGGAACGATGCGAGAGATCCTTGTTCTCGTGATGAATGCGCAAGATTTTATCACGCACGAGCTGTTCTTTCGACTCCATTTCCGCGAGTTTTGATCACAGGACTTTAAAACTTGCAGGATGTAAATAATGCACTATGAACTAAATCCACCCAAATTTTCATCAAATTCTACCCAACGGTTAAAAAGTTAGAGCAATTTCATAGTGTGGCAATTTCATCGTGGACGCCCATTAAAAGCCTTTGGAAAGCTTCGAAGGTTTACAATTTATTTTCTTGGAGAGAAGGTATATTTCCCCGATTTTTAATCAAAATTGAATTTTCAGGGAAAGATGGTATATTTTTCCCAATTTTTAATCGAAATTGAAGGCATTTCCCAATAGTTTTCCTGGTGCTCTAAAGTTTTGCGGTTCACTGATTTTTTAACAGATATGTATATTTTTTTAAAACTACTGTAGACTTTCTTAGTGCCAAGTACTCAATTTCAACATTTTGTAGATATTTTTAAATTTCTTTTTATTTTAGTAGTGAAAAAGTGACTTTAGTGACTATTTTTAAGGAAATAGTGACTTTAGTGACTTTTTGGTGTAAAAAGTGACTTTTTAGTGACTGGCTTCAAAATAGTGACCAAGTCACTAAAAAGTGACCTGCTACCAGCCCTGGTACAGCTAAAAACATCCATTTCAATTGTTTTTTTTGCCTATTTGCAACAATTTTGAGGTTTTGTCCAACTTTTGTTCTCAGGGGAACCACTGTGACCGGCGCCGCTAAAAGTGCAGTAGTTAAAAACATGGTTTTCTTTATGTCTCAATATTATATTATGTATTATAATAGCAGGTGAAAATCAACAGTGGTATATCCACTCTATCGAACGCTTTACTAAAATCATTATATAATGTTTCTACGTAATTTCCCTTATCAATTACATTTAAAGCATATGTTGCAAAATGTATCAAATTAAGCTGTAGATCGACCTTTAACAAATCCATGTTGTTTACTAGTAATGAGAGATTTAACTTGGGAAAATATGTTGGCATTGATGATGGACTCGAAAAATTTAGAATAATATTATTTTCTACCTTGGTATTATGTTCTTCATATGCATTTTTCATTTCTTCATTCAGTTTATCGTATATTTCTAGATAAAATGTAAGATTTCCTTCACTAAGGTTTTTTTTATAAGTCTTATTTGCTTTCTGTTTCTTATTTTTCAGATTGATAACTTTTTTATCGTACCAAACTGGTGTCTTGGAATTATGATGAATACTGCTTTCATTTACTAAAGTTAACAAATTTTCTATAGCCAATAAAAAAAATCCTTAAGTACCGAAAATATTCAGTAAGTCCGTAACATAAATTAGCGTTTCACAAATAATCTGTAAATAATGTTTCGGTGAAATAATAATTAATTCAACTAAAATTTCACTGAATAATTTGTAAAAATCTACCGAACTGTTCGGTGACAAAACACTTTTTTGAGATTTACAGATTTTTCGGTAATTTTAATAAGTACAGAACTATTTACCGAACATTCAGCTGTTGAGATTTCGATATTTTGTTTTATAGATATCTGTGTAGACATAGAAATTACTCCATTTATCAGTAGTAACCAGATGAGCAACTACATAACCCGCTTAATGTGTCATAGCGAAACATTCATAATATGAATGGGGTTAGAAGAAAGGGGTGTAAGTGACTTTGGTTGGTTCTCTTAATCGACTTTCTCTTTTGATAGCCACAGCGCTATAAACAGAGCAGTGTTGGAAAAATATCAAAAAATCAAATCTCATCAAAGCCCAAAATCACGCCCAAGATCACTCAACACTCAACAAAACTCACCAGCTGCACATCTCTCCAAACTGTGGGGAAATTGAGTTTCATGATTTTTGCTTTACACCAGAACGCAACCGATACTTCCACAACGGCTAGCAGCAGTCGCTTCGTATCTGCCATCGGTTAAGAGAAAAAAGATATAGCATTATTATACCTTCTCTTTCTAAGAAAACGAGGGGCAACTTTAACCTTTTTTGTGAATAGTCTCGCAATATCAAAGGAGCTTGTCAAATCAATATCAAGCATTATATTTTGCTCCAATATCACGCGTGTGGAGAGCGTGTGGAGAGCGTATGAGAGGGGAAAAATATCTATTTGCGTTAAAATTGAAAAAAAAAAAAAAAAAATATTTCCAAGCATTGCGAAATCATAGATTATAAAGTTATAATGTTATTATGTAGTCTACGGTTTTGATTGCACCACAAATATCGATATCCGTTGCAAAATGTACTGAATTTTCGCCCAGGATCTTTGATGAAAATTATGTCAGCAATTTTTATTTTATCAATCAAAGACTCATATGCACATAACAATAAATCTGGTAACAGCCAAACGTCAAACCAAGGGGTGATTGATTGAATTTATGGCGAGTGAAAAAAGCTGGATAATATTGGGCAATTTGAGAAAACCATTCATAATTAATGTTACTCCAGCTAGCACATAATTGAGACAATTGACATTGCAATAAAATAATAAGGGACACATTTTGTACATCTCTATATTTCATACCAGAAACATACACATCTTTTCTATAAAATAAATGTTAACCATTTAAGGATATCTAAATCAAATAACCAAGCTTTAACAAATTATCAGCTTATTATATTAATGCTTAAAACATCAGACGATGTGGATGGATATATTAGATTCTGTCAGAACAATTGTGTGATGGAAATAAGGATCTCTATATCAGAATATGATGGTCAACTAAACACATTATGTCCACTTTAAATTACAATGGGTTTCGCTTTTTTTGGTTTTACCTGATTAGACCAATCACCGGTTGGAACGGTTGCCTTGTAAAAACGAGAACTGGTCTTATTGAAGATGGGCAGGAGTTCATTTGCCTCATCGGAGAGTGCCTGAAATGGAAATCAAATAAAATGACTGTATTAACGTTAAGAAAACAAATCAACTCAACATACCTTTAAATATATCACAGCATCCGACCCGTATCCTTCACATGAGTACAGCACCAAGTCACCATGGAAATAACGAGCATACAGCCTCGAGATTGGTAATCCATAGCCGTACCCTTAAAATAGAAATAATAGTTTATGCAAAAGTTTTTTATGTAGAAAATCCAAACATACCGGCCAATGGAACAAGCGGAAGATCAGATTTCGATTTTGGTGGTTGCGGTGCTGTACTGTACATGTACTTGAACAGTTGGTCGACGTGGGATCTGGGAATACCACCTCCACGATCTGACATTTTAACACAGATATCTTCTTTGCCTTTGACGATAGTCACTTTGAGGGGTGGGATATCATCCTCGGCACCATGGTACTCCATAACGGCACGCATAGAATTTTTAAATAACTCAAACAGCATATGATACAGATGCGAAGGTACGTAAACAATTTTAATAGGTTTTCCATTTTCCAGATCTAAAAATTATATAAAAAGTGAATCTTTAAAGATTTTGTTCTTGGTTTTATGTACTAGACCCGTCCATTTTCACAAAAATAATTCCGGATCCCACCGATTGTTCCTCGTGTTAAGTTGAGCTTCTGATTCAGCAAAATCATTGTTGATTTAGAGGTGTTTTTGTGATTTTTTATGTAATTTCTGTCTTATAATATTTGTATCTCGAGACTGAAGGCATGAAAACTGCTGTAACAACTTGCATACGAATGCTAAATATGTTATGGACCAACACAATAAAAAGAATGTGTCGAGTTAGAATGATTTTATTTATTTTTTACATAGTTTTGTGCTTAGAGATGTACCAAAAAGCATTTTTTACAGTAGGGGAAATGTATGTAATGTCGGCCCAAGTGTCCCTAATTTGGGCCCATACATAAATTCAGCAATTGACTAAATTTTCAATAGCAAAAATATCCACTAGTACCGTCCCAATTACGCGTTCATTTAGATACAATAGATAAATAGCAGATTTTTAGCGATGGCCCCAATCTTAGATCCATAGGCCAACATTAGAGCCATTTCCCCTATTTATCGATTTCTTTGCCCTTGTAATTTAAAAACATCCACGTTACGGCTGAATGTTCCTTGCACATTTTTCGACATTTTGTTCAAACGTAGTTTTTATGTATCTTTCACAGATTAATTTATAACAATCTAAACGGAGGTTGTAATGGATAAAATCCACACAGTCAGGTAGAGCGCCAATCAGATTAATAAAATAAAGTAGTTTTTTACTGACGACTGATGAACTAGAATAAGATGGAGCAACGAATGAATCTCTAACACGAAGAAAATTTGGTCACGTTATCTCATGAAGGGGCATGCAATCTGAAGGTTGTGAGTTCGATGATATCCTCCCCTTACTTCGGTGTGAACTATTTTTTATTATTAATTTCTATGGCTATTGAATGTCTAAAAATCTTCAATTTGAAGCAGTTATCATGAAGTAAAGAGACCACAGAATATGGAGTAAATATTTGTTTTATAAAATATATTCTCATTAGCTAACGTGACCAAATTCGTTCGTGTTAGAGATTCATTCGGTGCACCATGTTATTCCAGGCGAGAAAAGTGCAAGGTACATTATGCGTGCATATTTTTATATTACAAGGGCAACAAAAAATCATAGAACAAATACTGCAAACAAATTTTCTTTTTGGGATATCTCTAAGCATGAAACCAAGTCAAAAGAAAATAAAACCGTTCTAAATCGACACATTAGTTGGCTGATAACATATTTAGCTTAGTATGCAAGTTGTTACTCCGGTTTATGCTTTTAGTCTCGAGATACAAATATTATAAGACAGAAATTACCTGCAAATCACAAAAAAAAAAAAAATACTTGAAGCAACTCATATAGCAAACTAAGTAGAAAGATCGCCACTCTCTGGAGAAATCAAGCTTCGAATATCAGTCCGCATCGTGCTCTCTTGCCGTGCGGATCTATTTGCTTTTTGCTGAAGGAAGTGTTACTACTACCTAAAGCTACAACAAATTTAAACAGCACTTTTCAGTGCTCAACCTGTAAAAATTTTCTACCTTGTTCAACTCTTATTCCTCTTCGATCCTTGTTTGGACCCTACCCGAGGTAATCCTTCTTGGATATCGATTTGGAAAATTCCTCTTCGATCCTTCAGATTCTTATAGTAATCTGCTTGGAAGTCGATTTGGATAAAAATTTACTGCCGCCATGGCGCCTAAACGCAAAAGAAAGGGGCAAACTCTTGACCCCCCTTCTGATGAAATTAATTTGAGTAATCAATTTGATTTGCTCACGGATGATGAGAATGATCCATCATCCAAGAAAAATTCTAGTAAACTTTCCCGGCTTAATGCCAAGAAGGAAAAGATTCCCCCTATTGTGATAACCACTACCGATTTCCATGCTCTTCGCATGGAACTTTTGAATTTCGTGAAAGTTAAGTTTTCACTACAAATTGGACGTCGGGGTGAATGCCGTGTATTGGCTGAAACCTTGGACGGATTTAAATGTCTTCTCAAGTATCTTACTGAGAAGAAGCACAAATTTTTTACTTACGACACCAAAACTGAACGTGTGTTCAAGGTTGTCATGAAAGGACTGCCCAGTGGTGAATCCCTGGATCAGATCAAAGATGAACTGGCAAAATTACTTGGAGTTGTGCCACTCCAAGTAATCAAAATGAAAATGAAATCCCGTCCTGGCGATTCGCGCAACGGGATTTCTAATGATTTTTATTTAGTTCACTTCAAGTCTAGTGAACTAAACAACCTTAAGGCCTTAGAAAAAGCTAGCCTTATGCTCCATGTCCGAGTGAAGTGGGAACACTTCAGGAAGACTGGAGGAAATTTCCAAAACCTCACCCAGTGCCGTAAGTGCCAGGGATGGGGTCACGGAACTAAAAATTGCTACATGCCAGCTAAATGCATGAATTGTGGTGATTCCTCTCACGCAAAGGACGACTGTCCTGTGAAGGAAGATCCTAAGAAATTTAAATGTTCAAATTGTGGTGAAAACCACAAATCCAATTTTTGGGAATGTAAGACTCGCAAAGCGATCCTACAATCTCGTTCTAACCGTCAGGTAGGAAACGCTCCACGTTTCCGACCAGGTACAAATTCCTCTGCTGTTAACAACGGTCAGCGAGGAACAAATTCTACATTCGTACCCGTAGGTACAAATATCTCCCCTGCTTCAAATGTTTCATCTGTACCTACTCCCCTCGCTGCTAACAATGTTCAGCGAGTTAATGGAGCTACCTATGCTGCTATTGCAGCGGGTAGAAATCAAAATACTAACCAACGTTCTAATGGAAATTTTGACAATTTTGACTTAGGAAGCATTACTGCCCCCAAAATGGAATTTTTACAGAATTCATTAATTGACATGATTTCTGATATGCTTAAATCTAACTCCATGTTTGATGCTATTCAAACTGGAGTAAAATTTGCAAATAATATTGTCATGACTTTAAAATTCAGTAATGGATTTTAAAGCATTAAATATTGTAAATTGGAATGCTCGATCTCTTAAAGATAATGAAGACGAGCTATTTAACTTTTTAAGAGTTCATAACGTGCATATTGCCGTTATAACTGAAACGTTCCTTAAACCTGCCCATAAGGTTAAGAAGGACGCAAATTACTTGATTTATAGAAATGATCGTCTTGATGGACCCTGTGGTGGCGTTGCCATCATTATTCATAGACGAATCAAACATAAAATTCTTTCTTCATTTGAAACCAAAGTTTTTGAAACTTTGGGGGTTTCTGTTGAAACAAAATTTGGACAACTTACGTTTATAGCTGCCTATTTGCCATTCCAATGCGTAGGCCAGCAAAAGAATTTTCTCAAGGGTGACCTCCAGAAACTTACCCGTCATAGGTCTAAATTCTTCATTATTGGTGATTTTAATGCAAAACACCGCTCATGGAATAATGCTCAAAGCAATTCCAATGGTAATATTCTGTTTGATGATTGTTCTGCAGGTTATTACACTATTCAATATCCAAACAGCCCAACATGCTTTTCTTCTGCAAGAAATCCCTCCACTATTGATTTGGTCTTAACTGATTCATGTCAACTTTGTAGCCAATTGGTTACCCATGCTGACTTCGGTTCTGATCACCTTCCAGTAACTTTTGAAATATCCCAAGAAATAATTTGTAATCCCAACAGCTCTACTTTCAATTACCATAGAGCTGATTGGGAGCAGTATCGAACATTTATGGAATATAACTTCGATCCAAACATTCCTTTGCAAACCAAAGATGAAATTAATTATGCTCTTGAATCTCTGACTACTTCTATAGTTGAAGCAAGAGCTGCCTCAGTACCAAAATGCGAGGTTAAATTCGATTCAATTATAATAGACGATGATCTTCAGCTCTTGATCCGTCTTAAAAATGTCCGTAGGAGACAATATCAAAGAACACGCGATCCTGCCATGAAAGTTATCTGGCGGGATTTGCAAAAACAAATTAAAAAGCGATTCTCTGCCCTGAGGAACAAAACTTTTGAAAATAATATTTCTAAATTAGACCCGAGTTCCAAACCCTTTTGGAAACTCACAAAAATTTTGAAAAAACCTCAAAAGCCTATTCCAGCGCTTAAAGAAGGTGGTAAAATTTTGATCACAAATTTGGAAAAAGCTCAGAAACTTGCTAAGCAATTCGAGAGTTCCCATAATTTCAGTTTGGGTCTTACTAGTCCTATTGAGAATCAGGTTGCTCGGGATTTTCTGAATATTTTCTCTCGGGAAAATATTTTTGATGATTCCTGGGGGACTGATTTGGACGAAGTAAGGTCTATAACTAAAAATTTTCAAAATATGAAAGCTCCAGGTGATGATGGAATTTTCTATATCCTCATCAAAAAACTCCCAGAGAGTACCTTGTCTTTCTTGGTAAAATTATTTAACAGATGTTTCCATTTGGCATACTTTCCTGATAAATGGAAAAATGCAAAAGTTGTTCCAATTTTGAAGCCGGATAAAAATCCAGCTGAAGCTTCTAGCTACCGTCCAATAAGTTTGCTTTCTTCAATAAGTAAACTTTTTGAAAAGATAATTTTGAATAGAATGATGCTTCACATCAATACGAACTCAATTTTTGCAGATGAGCAGTTTGGATTTCGCCATGGGCATTCAACTACTCATCAACTCTTAAGAGTTAACAATTTAATTCGTTCAAACAAATCTGAAGGCCACTCAACTGGAGTTGCTCTTCTAGACATAGAAAAAGCATTCGACAGTGTTTGGCATGAAGGTTTGATTGCTAAATTGAAAAAGTTTAATTTTCCACTTTATATTATGAAATTAGTTCAAAATTATTTAACTGACAGAACTCTTCAAGTAAATTATCAAAATTCCAAATCTAATCGACTACCTGTTAGGGCAGGAGTTCCTCAGGGTAGCATTCTTGGGCCTATATTGTATAACATTTTCACTTCGGACCTCCCTGATTTGCCTCAGGGTTGCCA